TCAAGACATCGGATCGTCAACGAGAAGCAAACTCGACGCGAGCATTCGAGGGAGGCATCTCATCGCCACTGTAAAGAACCCAGAATTAAACAAAGGAGAGAATCCAGATCATTCTCTTCTCTTTTGTAATCAGGAAATCCAATTGTAACTGAGATTAAAGAAATACAAATCAATTTTTTTTTATTTCTTTTACTGCAAATTTTTCCACAAACAAAAGATGGCGACTCTGCTGGGGAGAAGCTTCTCTGACGAAGAAGTGGTGGTGCAATCCGATGTTCATCTCACTGGAACAACCGTCAAAACTCTCGTGGTAGAGTTTGATCAAGCCAAGTTCGAGGAAGCCCTCTCCTCCGGATCCCTTAGCCTCAAGGCTATGCGAGACTAAAGCTCCAACTGTTGCTCCTATGCCGAAGGAAGACCTCTCCTTTGGGCCAGATTGCTTGGATAGCCCCTCCCCCGATGGAGTGGGCTCAGCTTCAGCCAAACCCACGCCAAGACGACGGGTATCGGGTCGAAAGATGCCCATTGAGGCGACAAAGGCCTTGAAGCAGGCTAAGAAGAACGTCGCTCGACGGAGGAGGAGATCCTTACGACGAGCACATCTCCGAGAATGCCGATCCTCAAGTCAACACGAGCTTCGTGTTTGTGAGCCTAAACGCAACCGTGTGCTCTGCGTTTCTGCTTCAGAACGCAAGCCTCGCGTCTATGAGACCAAACATAGACTCTGTGTGAAGAAGACTGAACGCAACCCTCAAGGGCGCGTTCCACAAAATGAACGCAACTCTCAAATATGCGTTTTAGAACCAAAATGCAGACTTCAAGACTGCGTTTCATCAGCAAAACCTGAAGCTCAGGCATGCGTTCAGTTGACGAAATCCAATACAGAGCCTGGTATATATCGTGGAGCTTCGGGGCGCTGCCCCGAACCCCGCCGGGGGGTATTCCATCCCCCCCGGACCCCCTGGCCAGGGGCGCGCCGCCCCCTGGACCCCCGGCTCGCTGATAAAAAGTTCATGGATTCAAGACATCTCAACCAGATCTATGTTCACCAAGAGCCAGTCCTGTCCAATCATGGACTGGGGGTTCCAATTCAAACCTCACGATCAGTGAGTAATTCTCTTCGAATCTTTACAACAGATTTGAGAGAATTCATATCGAGAGAAAGACTGATGCAACAAGTCATTCGTTCATTCCAATGTAAACGACTGATTCCTACGGTCCTCTCGGGATGTCAATGCTGCTCATATGCGGCCAAACTGTTGGTGTTCGCAATGCTGCTCATATGCGGCCAAACTGTTGGTGTTCGACCAATTTACGAACGTTGCTTTGCCCAACCAACGACGACGTTCTCACAGAAAGAAGTCTCCAGAGACCGAATATCCCGAGGTCACTATCAATGTGATCAGCAGAGGGAAAGCCTCAGGTCCTAGTTCCGACGACTCTGAGACAAGTCGTTCGCCGACCGTCAGAGAAATCGCTAACGAGTTTGAAGGAGTCTACCAACGCACTCGGACGCGAACAGGAACCATTCTCCCTGTCAATTATCGGAGGTTAGCCAGAGGAACCAATTCCGATGATGAACACTCAGCCATCGCGGAGTCTCAATCGTCAAGTTCCTTTGTTGAACGTGAAAGCTCCGCCTATATGACAGAAAGCCATGAAGATCTCGCGAAGAGACTTGATGAGCAGGAGGCCATGCTCAAATCTCAGCAAGAGGCCATCAATGAACTCATGGCCCTGTTGACTCAAATTGTCACAGACAAGGCCAAATCTCAGAAGACAGATTCGCCACCTAGGCAAGAACTCTCCCGGAGAGGAAAGACGTCTTCGTCCCGACCCCACACAAGCAAAGGGAAGGGAAAAGTGGTTGATGACACGGCTTCTGACCAAGAAGCCCACAACCTAGAATCTTCCTCTGATGAAGGAAGAGAGACGAAGAACGAACAGAATCTCCAGTCTGCCAAAATGGAAGAATTGGAAGCCCACCTCAACGCCATTGCTAACAGAAGCGAGCTCCAAGACGAGGGAGTTGTCAGACCCTATCCTACCGAATGGGATGCAGCCCCTTATCCTCCAAAATTCGAAGTCCCGACGCTACAAACTTTTGACGGCACGGGATCACCGAACCAACATATCTATCATTTCAAGTCACAGACTGGGAATGTGATATCAAACGACGCCATACTGGCTCGATTATTCATTGGCACCCTCAAGGGAGTTGCCTTTGAATGGTTCAGGAAACTTCCTGTGGGATGTATCCAAAAATGGGCAGATCTAGAGAGACTATTCCTTTTAAGATTCTTTGAAGAGGATACCGAAGTCTCCATCCATACTCTTCTCGCCACTAAGCAGAAGAAGAGGGAGTCCGTCAAAGCCTTCGTCAAGAGGTTTCGAACCATGGCTCTCCGGTGTTCGTCAGGTATGACACAGTCTACCTTAGTAGAGACCTGTCGGCACAACTTGCAGACCAACCTCCTAGCCCGAATCGGAGTTGCAGAATGTCGTTCTTGGAGACAACTAATCTCTCAAGGCGAACAGGCTCAAAAGATTATTGCCAGGATCAAAGCTGAAGAACAAAGTAGGCAGGATCCACCTGAGCAATCGGACGAAGCCCAATCTTCTCCTGAGCAATCGGACCAAGCCCAATCTCCTCAGTCAGAAGGGGAAGATACTACGACCACTGAAGCTAATCCTCTTCAGTAGGATGCCGGGTCTCCAATAACTATCACGTTAACAATTACCTCTGATAGTCAAACTC